TAACATGGGATACTACTGGCTCACTGGAATCAAATTTTTGCAAGCACAATGGGCTGACATGGAAAAGGTGGAGGAAAAACCTCTTGCATGAACTCTGGTCATGCTTCTCTGGTTATAAGCCTATGCTTCATTCTCTGTTTGTCATGTGTTCTTATCCGAAGATAAGCATTTTGCTTAACTAGTGGATAGAATATAAATGAAATAAGAACTATAAACTTCTTGAAATATATTGCAACATCATATATAAAATTAATGGATGAATTTCAGTTATTGCGGCCTGATGATGTAGACAAGGTGCTTGGACGAGTACATCCCACCTCTTGCCTATTGGACCCTTGCCCGTCTTGGTTAATAAATAATTCCAAGCACGGGATTGGGATCTGGATCTTGGAAGTGGTTAACGCCGTTTTTTGTTTTTTGGCGCCAGGCGAAGACCTTTTTATTCAAACGTCATTTTAATTGCTAATATTATTTCCTTATTTTATTCTTTGGCCAGGGCGACTTATTTTATATTGTTAATTCATTTTATATTTTTAATGTATTATATTTTAATGTTTTGTGAGCCGCCCCGAGGCTTTGGCGAATGGGGCGGCATAGAAATTTTCTAAATAAATAAATAAATAAATAATATATGTAATGGTTTTAAAACCACAAAAGATGCCTAACATTGTCAAAACAAGCTGGCATATTTAGATCAGGGAAGAGATGGCCTGCATAGTGGTACTTCTATTGCCAGACCTATCCACCATCTGGATAGAAAGATGGCAGATGGATAGGGTTGTTCCCCAGTGTAAATCCCCCACATAAGTACTGAGAAGAAATATACCCCAGAGTATCATCTGGAGGGTCTGTAAAGAACAGGTCATCCTTTACCTTATTACCATTCAAAATTGTGACATCTTCATACTTAATTCTCCACCAGGTATCTTTGCTCTGCCTTTCAAGGCTTCCTTTATGAATCTTTATAAATGTTGCCACGCCAATAGTTCCTGATACTGTTGCTATCAGAAGAATTATCACAACAACAAGGGCTGTTCCTTCTAATGACAAATGACAGAGTAAGTCGTTATAGAACAGGAAAATGGACGTCAATTTTGGTGAAGTAAAATTGGGTTGAGGGGAGAGATTAGACAATTCTCAGAACAACAAATCTGTGTCACCAATCCAAAAAGGAAATAGCAGAACTGGAAAATATACATATGTGACAATCAACACTAGAATATAATAAAAGCTATTTCAAACAAGTAATGTTTAGAAGGTATGGGATATAGGATATTACAGCCAGCTTATAAATATGAAACAGCAGCCCTAAATCCACTTGGGAGTTAAGCCCAAGTACACAGAATAGAATGCCATTCTGAGCAAAGGTGTATACGATTGAACTGTGAAGCCAGGGATGGACTGACTTCCTCATGTTCCTTCCTCATGTTCTAGCCTACAACTCCTAACATCCCTTGTCACTGGCTATGCTGGCAAGGGCTGATGGGAACTGTTGCCAAAATATCTGACCATCTCTGTATGTCCACCCCTGTATGAGTGCATAATTGATGTTGTTAGAAATGTAAGATTAGAATTAGAGGCCAGAGGTGCATTTAAATATTTATTTTCAAAGGATCCACATGTACATGTATGGAAGAGATGATCTAAGCTGAATCATCCCCAGCCTCTCTTTTTCCAACCTATTGCAGCACCCATGTGCCACATGGAGAGGCAGAGCATCCTGCAGTGCAAGGGGAATCTTTGAAAATTGGACAGAGAGATCTCACACAAGAAGAAGCCTTCTTCATGCAGATTTTATATCATCTCAGACTACAATTTAAGTCTATGGTTTAACTTTAGTATAATTTCTATAGAGTGAGATTGTGGCCAACAAGACCATAACCTTTTAACAAGAAAACCAGATTCTTTTAATAGTGAACATGTAAGGTTTTAGGTTATGGATTGAAAACAGACTACCACACAGCCAGGAGCTTCACACAAACACAAAGCAGCTGTAACTCAGTGGTAGAGTATTTGTTTTACATGCAGAAGGTTGCAGCTTCAGTCTCAGGAATCTTTGGGTACAGTGGGAAATCTGAACCCCAGAAGCTACTCTCAGTAAGTGTAGGACAATGCTAGGCTAATGAAACGACAGTGTGACTCAGCAGAAGGCAGCTTCCTCTGCTTAATTCATCAGAAGTATAGTAAGCCAGTGCCTATCTGCCTATATGAATCAAGCCTAGGAATCTGATCTGAACAGCATATCTGAAATCCAACATGAAAATAATGGAGCTTTAGAGATAAGTGAGGAACACCAGGCTGGTTCCAAAACAAGGTTGAGCAGTGCCCATCAGTTAAGATGGGAGTGCTTTTGGTTTTGTTTTGTTTTCTTTTTTCCCCTTCAACTTCTGTTCCTAAATACATAACTCTAGCTATATGTAGGAGCACGGGGTTGTGTGTACCTGGTAGTGTGTAGATTTGTGTGTGTGTGTGTGTGTGTGTGTGTGTGTGTGTGTGAGAGAGAGAGAGAGAGAGAGAGAGAGAGAGAGAGAGAGAGAGAGAGAGTTCACAAGCAATGTTGAACTTTTCTACAGGTATAAAAAATATGCATGTTTACTCATGTATGAACTAGGCTGAAGACCACAATGCCTTTATTCCATTGAGCCCAGTGAAACTTAGTTCCAAGTATATATACAGGCATGTGCTGTTTGAATGAGACTTTGCTCACTTATCTGAACAGTCCCCATTTATTTTTTAAAAAGGGATACTTGTTGCTGTCTCTAATTCAATGGCATAGTCCACATGAAAACATATCTTCATTTCATGGGATAATGTGTCAGAAAGAAAGATCTTTGCTCATTCCATGGAAGCCAGAAGTCCCCATTAACAATGACAATAAGACATTTGCATGAAAAAATTAAGGGCAAACAAATCTTCACATTACTTCCCGCCTACCCCCTTCTTCAACAATTGTATGTATAGAATCAGACTCACTGGCAACTGGAATTTTGCATTGTTCATTGTGAAACCCACACAGTGGCTTGTCTTTAGGTGTGCCTCCATCTGACCAATAGATATTGTCAATTTCTTTGGCTGGACTACACACAGAAACAGTAAACATGTCATCATCATGGTTCATTTATAATTTTAAAGATATGAATTTGTTTTTCCAAAACTTTATTAATACATTAATACATTTACCTCTTACATCTAAATATATCCATAGTAAAAGGGTAATTTACCTATAAACAATCCTATTGCATCATTGAAGATTTGCTTATATTTTACTTAAAAGATATCTCTGCCTTAATATTCATGTCCATGGTCAAGGAAAGCTGGGAATCATTAGCATACTGAATATAATTTATATAAACAGAAGTATTTACCACTTTCTAGTCTACTAGAACTGACCTGCTTTAGATCCTTTTAGTGTTGTTGGGAAAATAACATATTCCAGATCATTTTGTCTTTGTGAGTGTGACTAGATGGGAAATACTAATCACATCTATACATTTTCAGTTCTCATTTTCCAATATTAATTTGAACTTTGAGAATTTTTAAGAAAGTTTGCATGAGAATTCATGTCTGTTTTTGCACACATTTCTCCCAATACATGTATTTTATATAATTTCCCCTAATTTTGCAAGTAATTTTAATAGTAAAATGCATTTTGATATTCTTTGCATTAATATCTGCATTTGTACACACGTTTTTCTAATATATACATTTTTGTTCATAGTTTTTTCCTGTAGAAGTCTATAGCAAAATTCAAAAAAGTGTGAATCTCAAAAGATAACTGAGTTTCAGTTCTCATATTGGTTTAAAAGTAAGTAAGTATGTAATTTCTTTCCCATCCAGAGTTTGGAGGCAATATTGGCAGCATTGTATGCCTCTCCATTCAATTTGTAACTTAAGAGAACTGGATAAAGATGATCTAATCATAGCTTAAGGAAAGCTGCCCACACCCTCTGCAGCTACTAACATAATGGGTGGGTTCACACAACATGTTAAATCCCTTGGGAATTTTAACCAAAATTTCCTCTGTACCTTACAGATGATCATGCACAATAGGGGTTGTGGATCCCCTCTTTCCTCCTACCTGTCCCATCCTCCTGCAGTATCCCAGGGGACACTGTAAGAGCATGGAGATGTCCCCAAGTTGTTAATAGTTAAACAAGTAAAACATTAACAATTGATTGAAAAATGAGTAAGTGGTGAGCCACAAATTTGCAATTTGACATGCAAACTTTCTCCATGCAGACAAGTGTCCACACCAAATTACATTATAACCCACAGCTAATTAATTTTTCAGGTTTTTTTTTTAAGGCGAGGGGCGTGGCAAGCATCCTTTTCAGCAGAATCACTGGGGTTATGTGGGGGAGATATTTATGAAGTTCTGGCTGTCATCACTAAAAATAACACAGAGGCACAATGGGACAATCACCTGGTTTTTCTTTCCCATTCAGGGCAGCCCTGCCCAAATGACTGCCACAGAGCCAATACTTCCCCTACCCAAATTCATACCTGAGGGGCCCATTCTCAGGCAGGAGCAGGAGGAGCAAGAGCTGGCTAGCACTGTTCCATTTGGGTTAGCCCTATCCAGCCAATCCTCCTGGCTCTTGTCCTAGAAATGAACTCAGGGGCAGGAGACAGGAAGACCAGGTTGGCTCTGACAGCTGTGTCTTCTAGCTACTCACTTGGAAGAAATGGTGATAGCTGCTCTTGCTAATGGCTTATTTGTTCAGACTTCAGTCATGATGAGTTACTTTATCTGAATTTGAAACACACAGCAAATAATCATGGTAAGGAGAAACCCTAGAACAGACTGTGGCGTCTTATTGTGGCTGGCAACCACAATAAATCACCTTGGTCAACCACCACCAGTGGATTTCTAGCAGTCATTTTTTCTGTTGCTGCTTGTTTGATATGCCATGTGAACCCAGACAGTAGTTTAACTAATCCCTTATTATCTGCAGATGTTCAATATGAAATTACCTCCTTTAAATGTTACTTATAGAAACTAGGATTAGCAACATACTCTGTAATGAAGTCACGCAATGCATATGCAGTAAAGGAATGTGTTTACACCCAAATACCTGATTATCTTTCTGTAACCATCAAAGTTAAGAACAGGAATGAAACGTGTTGAGTTGCCAGATTCCTGGAGATCATACACAGAATAATCCATGTTTCTCTCACCTAATTCATCAATATGCACTGGGCCAGTAACGCCTAAACAATAAAAGAAATTCAAAATAGGAACATTAGAATTTTCTCCATACTTTGGTGTATCTGTCCAGATTCGAATGGGATTATTTTTCTGTACCTTTAACATATTTGTTTAAATTCAGCTGAAGGTGTATTTTACATATTATGTATTCACCACATGAGGCAAAATACATTTGGGTAAACTGTAAGGATTTCCAGCTATGATCAATATAGAAGATAGAATAATTTATCCAACTTCAGCATTCACTACAGTTCCTTGCAAAGCCCTATGAGAAACAGCTGTCTCTAGATACAGTCTGATCATATAGTCTATTTAGGCCTTCCTCAGCTTTCTCTGCACTGAAATTACACCCTCCTTAGGAGCCCTGTTCAGGTGTTGTTCATGCCATTTCTATTCCTGCTTCACCTCCAACTTTCTCACTGGGTGGAAATATCTGAAGGTGGTTTGTTTATGCATGTTTGGCTGAATACAGAGATGCCTCCGTATGATTAGGAGGGCTTTCCTTCTACATACGTTCAGCCAAAAGCACCTAGAAGGAACCTTTATACCTTCCTGCATTAAGCAGGAATAGAGAGAATAAGACCAGAGCACAGAAGGATTCTGGAGGTAGTCACAGGGTCCTATGTGTGTTGGAATCTGCCTGAACAGGGCTTGAGCAAGGTGCATTTCTGATATTTCTAAGACTTCTAGAAGCTCTGGTTTATAAACTTCGCTCAAGACCAAAACAGACATGACTTACCATTCATCTAGAGCTACATATGTTTTGTTTGTTTGTTTCAGTTTTACTCTAGAACAAGTTCAGGATCTCCATCTGGATCTAGGTGGGATTCTAAACTCTGGTATGTCAGCCACTCCTTATATGGTACATATGTGAATGGAGTGTGTGTTTTTAAGAAAGATGAGGGAGTTGAGCTCTGCTCACTGCTGGCATGCAGTCCCCAGCAGATTTCCATGAGGCCAGTGTGGGCATCTGAATAGGTCCCCTCACCCACTTTAACTAGAGATACCTGGGAAGGCTAGCTGCATTTAAAATTAAGAGCCCTGATACACAACTACAGACCACCCCATATGACAATTCTTGGGATGCCATTCTTAACCCACAAGCATACCATAAGGAAGGGTTTTATTGTAGCCTTTCAAAGTGTTGACAAGAGTCCTTCCATCACGGAAATCCTTTTGAGTTTCTGACATTTCTTTTATGGATAATGCATAGAGCAGAACTGCATCATGGAGGAAGGCAGCATAAGGACGTACCTGAAAAAGATACAATACAGGAAAGCAAGAGTTTGGGTTTCTACAAAGCATGTCTTCTTGAATGATTTCTTCAGAAACTGAAGAAATTATTAGAGTGGCCAGGAAGACAGGCATCCTGCATCTTTTAAGTTGAGCAAAAGAGAGTAATTTAGTTATCTGTACTGTTATACCACTTACTTAAGAACAGTCCCCTGGATTTTGGATGTCTTGATATGTTGAGACATCAATGGAACTATTCTTGAGTAAGGCATTTGACAGAATTAGTTTAACATTTAGATAGATGTGCCTGTCCTTAATTAATATAATTAGTGCTTAGTGTCCAATTATTAGCATTTAGGAGTTAGCAAATTGTACAATTACTCCTGTTACAAATAAAAAAATACTCCTGCATGCAAAATCATTTTAAGATTGTAAGGTTTCACTTATTCCAGGGTATTAACATTGCAACAACTGTATTATAACAAGGCCTCAAAACTTCAGTTAAATAAAAGGGTAGTAACATTGCTTTCTGATATAGTATGATAAAATCATATTATGCCTGTCATCTGCACTGCTTGTAAGTCTACTTCTGGTTCCAGTTCAAATTGGATTGGGATGATATTGGTATTATTAAATTTTAAAGACTTCAACAGGTTACTGAAAGAAATAGTTACTCTCATATATATCTACTTAGGCCTTTTCTGAGGACCTTCTCCAGGTTCCTCTACCAAACAGGTAAGTTAGATGGCTATGAGTGGGGGTGGGGGAGAGATAGGCAGGGAAAGAGAGATTGCACGTGCCTTTTAGGCAGTGATACCTTGTGTATGGAATGACCTCTCTAGAGAGGTGAGCCTCCAATAGGTGCCACCATTGAAAAGGCTGTCTCTCTATTGCTCTTGCTAGTAATCACCCTTCCTAGAAAGGCTTATCTGGTACCTACATTGTAGATTCTTACTGCACACATTTCTATTTGTTTGAGATTTTACTTTATTTTATTTCATATTATATGGCTGTACCTCTATTTTGTGATTTGCCCATAACACTCTCACTACTGGATGTGATAAATACTTAAATGGAGATAAAATATAGTGTGCATAAACTATAATATTATAATCACTACTGCTGCTACTATATTACATTTATATCTCACCTTTTTTCTTGTGATGGACCCAAAACATTTACATAGCTCCATTTTATCCTCAAAACAACAACCCTGTGAGGTAGGTTAGGTGAAGAGTCCATGACTAGCCCAAAGTCACCCAGTAAGCCTCATGGCTAAGTAGGTACTAGAACTAAATAGGTATTGAACTGTCCCTAGTCCAATTTGCCATTTTTGGAAACAATCCAGTTCATCTGAGACAACTCTGGAGACTACCTGATCTGGCTTTAGGGCACAATCTAAACTTTGATTCAGATATTCAAAGTTTTATGGCTCCTATTAACTTTGGGATGTGTATAGTTTTTTGCTATCTAACAGAATATGATGGTGTTTACTGGTGGATGAGTGGATGCAGGCCTACCAAATTCTAGAGAAATAGGTAAGCTAATAGATAAGATTGGAGGGATCTAAACTGCTATGTTTCCTGTGAATATGTTCAGGGGAGATTGTGCCAGGGCAGCCCAAGTTCCAAATCATTCAGAATAAGTCTGGAAATGGTGGGGTGGGGAATGATTAGTTTCACTTTCCCCATGGAGGTTTCCATAGGCCAGAAAGCTCCAAATTTTCAGATTTTCAAATTTCAGTTGGTGCAAGGCCTAGAGCATTGTAATGAACAAGACACAGTTCAATGCCTTTATTAGACAGTGGGACATACAGTGTCAGAAGCTTTAAGACCTGAGCATCCAGCATTCTAAGAAGACATCCACTGCTAGATCATCCTAGGTACCACAGACTCCAGCAAAATTCTTTAATGCTCCTGGGAGAGAGAATTAACAACAGCAGGGAACACTGGACCCATCTGGCAACAGATTACTTCAGTGCCCAGATTACTTCACTCACCACTGTGACTGAAAACTCCAGCTTAAACCATTCACTGTGATCTGTCAGTCACAAACCCCTCCACTCCCCATTGTTTTTCTTGTATGCACTGCTTAGGGAGGCAAGCATCAGCTTTCCATTCCTATTTTTGCTCCAGTTAGGGGGCAGCTGTCCAGTGACTGATTCCCAGACTTTACCAGATGTTTTATCACCTGCCAGGTGAACTGCAAGATAATATATGGAGCAGAAGTTCCCAACTTTCCCACTGGGGATGAAATTCCAGATTTTTGGAGATTTACCTTCTGCCCATGCCAGATGTACAAGTGTAACTGAGTCCTGCTTACAGGGCTGACTAAGCTGAATCCTTTTCATTGAGCCAACATACCTAAAGCCACACTCATTCTGTTTCAACGTTATAAAGTCAACACCAATAAATTAAGCACATGTTTTCTCTCATGACACTTTCATCAGTAAGTATTCTTTTCTTTTCTTCCATCTAAAAACAGTCTCCTGAATTTTTTAAAGGTAGGACAGCAGAGCAGTCACAGTGGTGTTATTTATTCATTTATTTATTACACTTATACACCACCCCATGGCCCATTGGGCTCTCTGCAAAAAAAAAAAAAAAAAAATGGTTTAATTGGCAAGGAAATATTTGCAAGGAAAGTTAAACAGATCCAGATGTATAATTTCTTCACATCAAGAGAAAAACTTACAATTTCACCAGAGCATGGCCTTCAGTTGTGTGGTAAACCTACTTAGTTGTTTAGCTGAATTAATGGCTAGTCAAACACTGGGTATATTTCAGATTTGGCCATACTGGCAAAAAGTTAAGTTGGGAATGATGGGAAAAAATCAGTTTGGTTTCCTTGATGGGGGTCTTGAACTCTCGATATGGGGCTTTTTTGCTCACAGATCTAAATAGTTAAAATGACAGTTATGAAAATAACCTCTTCTTGTGAAGAAAGGAAGTTATATGAGGTCTGTTTCTCCTTCAGCTTGCCATGGATCTCCTTCGTAAAGTCAGAGTACGTCGTATATTTTTGGTAAGGCCTGAGGGCTATCAGAAAAACAGACCGATAGGCATCTAGGATGGTAGTGTTTGCATAATTCCTGCCTGCTGTCAAAAAATTATCCTGGAAGACAAAAATGGGCACAGTGAGAGATTATTGTTAGTATTCAGCAGGCAGATTGAATTCTACCAGTGCTAAAAATCTGTGTTTGTGCCAAATACCTCAGAGCTGAGGCACTTATGGCACATGGCCTCCCTTTTATTCACCATTTTACTCAACTATGTGTGGGAGATGCACAGCCCTTTCTATGAAAAGAGGACAGGAAGGAGCAGGTAGACCACACTGAAGTCCTGGGAGGAAAGGCAGGATCTAAATGTAATAAATAAATGCATTAGGCACTTACCTGTCAAACCTCTTTGTAAAATACCTGGAGTACACATTTAGAGGGAAAAATAGTGCTTGTGTATATTCCACATTTTCACAGGAAGGTTTTGTTAGCTATATATCACATTCTTTCAAGGAACTCAAAGAACCCATTCTCCTCCTGCTGCTCTTGTTCTTATCCCCACAATAACGACCATGTGAAGTAGGTTGGGCTGACAGTCTGTGACTGACCCAAAGTCACCTAGAACTCATGAGTCCCAAACCTGCTCTCTTAACCACTGCACCCCACTTGCTCTGTATTCTTTCACTATACATACAAATGTTATGCTAACAAACAGTTATGTAAGGTAGATTAGACGAAATATAGTGCCTAAGGTAAGCTTCCTAGCCAATGGGAGATTTAAACTCACTATACAGGTATTTCTCCCCAGGCCTAGTCATCACTCTAAATACATGAGCAATCCATCTGCTCTTTTTCAACCCAACAGCTATAAAAAATAGACACATCTGCAACCAGAAAGAATGATGCTTATTGGCAGGTGAAGCCAGAGGATGTTGACCTCTGCATTATGAGTTCATTTTATTATATTATATGAAGTTCACATGCTTGAAACAGTTACGTAGTATTTTAGAGCCACCTCCTCCATAGTACAATTTACCATCAAATTTCCCTTTTTGATGACATTCTCTATTCTGGGTGATCTGTACTAATCTGGATGATATGACTTAATGTGGGCATTAGAACAGAGAAGAGAGGGCTCCTTTACAACTGCAGAACACAATTGCCACTGTTCTTTCAGGCCCCATAATTCAAAATCTGTATTGTTATTTTTAGAGTTGCAAATAGTGTTTTTGAACAAGACAACAAAGCAATACTCACTGCATCAAACTGCTGTAGGACAAAAAACACGTATGGCCCATTTGTCATACCTAGTTCTTTGGCCTCTAGCAAAATGGATCTTGCATCCAAAGAACTGCAGATTAAAATAATAACTGAAAAGAAATTGTGGTGATTAGTTCCTAGCTCCTCCAAAAAGTAGCTATATAAAGAAAACAAAACAATGGAAGAAATCAATGGTTGGTACAATCTGATAGTATTTTGTAGATGATTAAAGTCAACATAATTTACCCATAAATGCACAAGACTCATATGAACGGATGAGTGCCTTACTATGAGTACAATGTATTTGGCTCTTTAAGCCCCATACTATTTACATGCCTTTAGTTTATATCACATTCTAATCTTGTAATATACTCCTGACATCCAAAGTTGCACTATATGTACCCATGTGACTAGAACCATTGAAACCACTGATATTTCCTATGTGCAAAAGTGAAATTGAAATAAGCATTGCAACCTGAAAAATGCAGCCAGGGTGGATCTGGATTTTATCTGTATTATGTTTTATTTTGTTTATGTAAGCCGTCCCGAGGCTATGCAATGGGACAGCATGCAAATGCTCTAAATAAATAAATAAATATCATAGTGTATTTCAGAGACAAAAAGCAAGGTGTTTATCTGGTCTCTAAATGAATCTGCATAGCAGAACCAAGCATGACGCTTCCAGAAGCCACATATGACAATATTATCTGTGCAAAGATGCAGCTCAAATAGAAGTTACTCTTGCTATTACAAGAGGATCAGAATGCTGGCTCATTTACAAGTGATTGCATAACTAGTTATGTGGCATTGCTGACAGTAACGAAAATTGATGGTTTTGTACAACCATATGACTGATATACCCAGACTGAGACACATTCACCATTGTCTGTGAGATGATCTGGAACAGCAAGTGGCCTGAACATTGGAAATAATTGATAACCTTTGTGTGTGTGTGTGTGTGTTCTTTGTTGGCTCCTAATCATCTAACAATTAGAACGTCATGAATCTGAACACATCACAAAGTAGTATCTCAGATCACAGAATTCTGTGATAATTTCTTTATTCTGTTCATTAAAAAGAGTTTCTTAAATTTAACATTTTTCTCCAGGAAAGTCCTTTGCAAACTTGAGAATTAATTGGGAACTAAATTCAACCAACTTTGAATACAACCTAATATGCAGGAGTACCAGATAGATGATAGAAACTGTGACTACATAGGTTAAGTACATTTTTTCCACCTGTGAACTGAGGTTTCCAACACTTTGGATGACACACATGATGGAAAGGCACCATTGGCTGGATGGTACAAAAAGGTGATATGTGGGAAGAAACCCTGCAATTAGCTGCAATATGTGATAAGATGCCCAAAATGTAGGTTCCATCCATGTCATTCTCCTATCATTGAAGAGATGGGATTTTGCCCCGTCAGTTTTGGAAAGGTCACAGATAAGATCTTTGTATATTTAATTATATTGTAAAAGAGTAGCAGTTGCCAGTTAAATGGATTCTTTCAAAATGAAGGTGAACTGGAAGTTGCCAGCTCTCAAATATGTGACTAAAGTATTGTATCCAATTAGCTCCTCCAACTGACAGAATAGCTTCTGTCCATGGAACAGGGAAAAGGCTATTTGCCTTCCTCCTCCAAACTGGTTCCATAGTTCTGGGGAAACAAGGAAGAAGAGAGGAAGGGAAAGGCCTTTTGCACAAGAAAATATTCCCTTGTGCAGTACTGGATTTTACACAAGTGCTGTGCTCATGACTATTGCTGAGCATTAAGAATATTCTTTAGAACACAATCCTATGGCCTTGCAATATCACCTAGGAGGCCATAGGATTTTTCAGAGTCAAGGGAGGTGCATGCTGGGGATAGGGGGGAGAGGAGGAAGCTGAGGCCAACACTAAACTTATTCAAAAATGACCATCTAGAAAAATGCAAGGAATGTGGTGCTGCAGTGATTGAGATCACCACTGCTATATCTTGATCCTGCCAATGGATGCTCATAAGCCTCTAAGTTCTGAGGGTTACATGCATTTGCTGCAACAGGACAATGTTCTTAGTTTTTCTGCATGTCTTCTGATGCAGAAAGGATGACCCTTCCTTTATTTCTTTTGTCAACAAAATGATGGACTAGGTTTATTTTTGTTTATGTACCTAGTTGTCCATCTTTATCTCCAAAAAGCTCAAAGATTAAAAATAAACAAATAAAAGAATATAAGCCTGTTCCAAAACTTACTTCTGGCAGCAGATGCTACATAGCTGAGCTTTTCTTTGTGGAGACTTTGATCTTTCGTATTGTATCTCACCTTAGCAGTTATTGTAATATTGGTTTTGAGTTGGTTCTCTACAGATGTCCACAATTCCTCCATTTCAGCCCAAGTGAAAACATCACTGGAGCTTCCAAAGAGCCCAACGTGTCTCCATCCAAAATACTGAAGAGTTTTATGCAGGACTTCCCCTAATATTTTCAAAGGAGGGACAAGACTGATGTAAGTGTCATAAAGAGAGGAATCACCCAGCTTGGTGCTATGGCTAACAAAGCCAAATAAGGGGATGTTCCACTGAGATGCCAGCAAGCCAGTAACCTGTGTGAGAAAAGAACAGAAAGAATTGCATTAGTTCATAGCAACATTTAAAATGCAATAATTTGCAATAAATTTCAGCCTTCTAGTTTACTGACTGTAATAGTACTTGAAAGAACATTAATTCATTCACACTGAGATTTTAATGCATTACATAGCATATACTTTATTACATTTGCACTCTGCCTTTTCTCTTTCCAAAAAGCCAAAACAGGTTACATGAGCCACCTTTTCTCCATTTTATCCTTCAAACAGCCATGTGAGGTAGGCTAGGTTAAGAGTTAGTGACTGGCCCATTGGAACTTGGATCTCCTCAATCCCAGTCCAGCAGGCTAACCACTACCTCACCCTGGTCTTTTGTTTCCTCAAAAGCGAAATGATTTAATGATCAAATGTTATATTATTCTACACAGAGTGACTTGTAGAAGTAATCAGCCTCCTTTGACTTTTCCACATTTTGCTGAGTTATAACCTGGAATTGAAATAACCTGATGCATACAAGATACTCACCACTGTGAAGGTGTAAATTATTTTTTATTGTGGTACAGAAGTTAAATAAACAAAAACAAATTGCCATTTGTTGTTTGCCTAAATATTCAACCACTTCACAATGACTTGCCTAGCTATGTAAAGTCTGATGTAACATGCTGCCTCCAAAGGTCACATATTGTAACGAGAATGAATAGAATCTACCTGTGTGCAATTCCAGTGCAACATAATCTCAGGTTAAATAACCTGTTTCTAGAAGGCCCCAGAGGTGGTTGGAGAGTGTATCTAAACAGCATCATAAAGATCAAGCAGCTATCAAAACAATTGCAGGATACATTTTAGCAGAAGTACCAATAAGAGCTATTTAAGAAAATATTAATCTTAAACTATGAACATCCCCTGGAGTGTAGTTAAATCCATGATTATAAAATGGAAAGCATATGACTCAACTGCAACTTCACCTAGAGGAAGCATCCACCAAAATTCAGTGATTGATGAGGGTAGAAAAGCAAACAAGAGCCCATTGGTAACTCTGAAGGTTCTAGATAGATCCAAAGTTGATATGGGAGAAACCATCCATGGGGCAACTATCACCTTGATATTCTGCAAAGCTGGGCTTTATGGAAAAGAAGTGTGAAGAAAACCATATCAAAACCTATTTGAAGTTTGCAGAAGGGCATATACAGCAAACATTTGGAAAAATGTTGTCCAGGCTGATGAAACCATAATTCAACCTTTTGGTCATGCGGGAAAATGCTGTGTATGGCACAAAGCCATCAATGTTCTTTGCCCTGAAAACATTTCCAAATCATCTCTCTTTCTACATCTTTCCACCATTTACCAGCCCCCAGCATCTACCCACAGAGGCAGCCACCTCACTTTGCCATCTCTCATCTTGAACTGTGGTATTACCTGCTTTCTACATCCTTAGGCAGTGGAAAGTTCCTAGGGCAGTGATGAAGGACTGAGTTTCATTTGAAGGATAAGGCACTGGAGGCCTAATGTACCCATGTGATATTTGAATTATTTGCGAAGCAAAACACAATGGAAGCAAAGACACTTCTATAGGCAGACACCACAGCCAGCACCATTCCCACAGAGCAACTTGTCCAGTCCCACCAAAGCTGTACCTCAGCCAAATTATCATGCATCACTCTATCCTAGTCAATTACAACTGCCAGCTGTTTCCTGCTGTTTCTTTGCCCTATTCCTTCAGTGGAAGTGTTGTTATCGTGTCCAAGTGTTATTCTCATGTCCAAGCATCTCATTCCAAAACCAGGAGATGATGGGATAGAGTTTCATTCCAAAACTGGACAGTGAACTTCAACTGTCCAGAAACCTACAATTAATGAAATATCACATGATCATTCCAGATCATTAGCAAGATGGTCTTTTACAAAAGCATATAGCATATCACATTGTTACATATTCTTTCCTGAGTTGTCCAGGGAGAAGGTAACGAAATTCTTTTGGATACAGGCACTGGGAAATTTATGGTGTCTTTGTATTATGTATTTATTTTCAAATAGGTCAGCAGAGTCCTGCAGGTTATCTGAAAAAGATGTGATAAAAAGCACTGCACCCTAATAAGCTCTTGCAGAACAGCAGCTGTTGCAGACTCTTGGGTGGCTTTTCATTGAGCAAAATCTCAAAACACAGTTTTCACCTTTTGCTTGTTTCCAAATTCAGACTGCCTCTTATACCAGCTATCTCACCTCCTTTCCCCAGATTCTAAAAGACATCAGATTCCCATATCTGATTATTGATTCTAGGCCATCAAAGCCCTGCTCTTATATCTTTGATAGCCCATGAAGTTTAAGGCAGACCTATAAGTTACTCAAAATTCATAACACTATTTTGAAACAAGAGGTTCTCTAACCTAAATCCTAGGTGCTTTTTGTTTCTGATTAAGAAGAACTACACCAAAAGTTATCTTTGCTGTGTGGTGAATGAAATAGATCTCCTTGCATGAAAGGGGGGTGCCATTCTGGAGCCTGCAAGACAAGGTCTCTCAAATCTGATTTTATTAGCCAATATCCTGTCTCCAAAACAACCATCTCACACCCACACTAACAACCTTCAGGGACATGGAATTCAGCCCATTCCAGATTGTGTCATCATCACAGTAAGGAGATGCCACACTTCTACTAGAATGCTTTTAGGTCTAAGCAGGAACAGGCTAAATAAGATGAATCTACTTAATACCCCAAGGGATCTGTGCTAGATGGGCCTTGAACCCAGCACAGAAAGAGCAGCTTTAAAGGTAGGCAACAAACTGAAGCAAAGGAAGTGACAGATTGAAGTGACAAGGAATGGCTTATCTATGTTTTGCAATCAGAAGAAGCCTAATTGGTGTGAGGCTTTACTATCAGAAGAGCTAAAGTAACCATTATGCTAAACACTCTACAGAGTAGATTATTAGTTGTGATTATATGGACGGCATGGTTTTTATGTTCTAAAGGGTCTAGTCCTGGTAATCAGGATGTTAGGAACCTTGCCTATTGTTTTCTTTGTCAGCCTATGTAGGTGCCTGTACATAGGCAAACCAGTTTGGCAAAAAATGGAGGATGGGGTCCTGGCATTCATGGAAGCATAATCTATTCATGACCTTTAATCCATCATTCACTGTGCAAAATCAAGTGATTTGTTGGATGGAAATATGTATTCAGTTCATTCCTTTTATGGGATCTTGAGTATTGTCTTTCTGCAAATTTATCCTCTGCTAGAATTTTCTTGATTCTCACAATTGTGAAGGGTCAATGACTCCTCCTAAGATGACTTAAAGTATCATCCAATGGCCATGTGTTAATACAACTCTATCAATTTGACAGCTCTACCTGTGTAGGAGGACCAGGGCAATGTAGCAATAGAGAAACCTTTTATTAGTATAAAAGGGTGTTGCTGCCACCAGAGGTAAAGTTGCAAAATTAAACAAGCTTGCAGTAGAAGGAAGAAGGTACTATCTTGTTTGAAGCTCAGAAAAACAAAGATATTCTACTGAAACAGGTGAGTGACTTGAAAGAGGAACTATATGGGTTTATGTTAAATAACTTCCTTCCTTCCTTCCTTCCTTCCTTTGAAATCTGTCTTCTGAGAGCTGTGAAACTGTGCAACAGAAGAAGAAGAAGAAAATCAAAGTGTGATTATTCATGCTGTAGTCTGAATACATGCCATCTGCCTTGGTAAGAAGGGTGACTGAATGTACGGTATGATTTAAAGAGCAACAAAGATATGTTTAACTTACAGCAATCTTATAAAAAGATAATGTTTTAAAAATCATCTTGTAAATTATTGTTGAACTACTTGATAAAAATGTCTGTGTTGTGGTTCAAGTCTTATGTGGGATAACCTTAGAACAGGCTGATCTTAAAATTGAATCAACTGTATCTTCCACAATCTTTTTAATAGAGTATATGGTCAAATGTGTTGAATACATGTAAAGTATTTCAGCAACTGCTTTGGATAACAAGGAAGCAACTGTGCAGATGCTTGTATCAGAAAAGGTCCTACAAATTCCAGGAGCCATAGTTGGCATTCTCCAACTATGGCTCCTATTTCTCTGAGGACATCCTTAATCTATCATGCTTTGGATCAAGGATCTGCTTTTCATGGATTGAAGGGCTCTGTTCACAGCAGGTTCGCCCACCTGGTTTGCAAGGATCCCCCTCACACAGTGCAACTCATTCAGCAGAGTCCCTGGACTTGTGTTGATTCTTGTAGAGGATCGCAGGAAGGCGAGAACCTGCTTCCATGGCCCTCTTTCATATGCTTAAATCTGGACGCAACCCAATTGGAAAATCAGAGAGGAAAGGAAGAACACATTACATTATCTTGGAAGAAAAACCTTTTGTCTGACCAAAACTCTTTGAACTGGAGTAGCTCTGTTAGAGGAAGATAATATACTGCAAGTTTTTATTGCAGAATTGTTTGTTGTTATTTCAGTAATGTCATACTTCCTTTAAAAAATAGTGGCTTGCTTCCAGATTTAATTGCAAGCAAGTGGCTTTGTGGAAGCAGAAATCCTCCCACCTCTTCCCACAGCAGAAGCTCTGGCTCCCTGAAAACATGACATGAGTGGCGTGAAGAGCCTGATGAAAGGAATGGGCTGTGATGTGGGGGAGGAGAAATCCCTGAAAATCAGACAGATCCACCTTAACTGTCCAGGGATCTTCCATTAACAAAAGGCAGATCCTAAATAAAACAGTGTTATTTTCCAGGCATTCTAATTAATAAATTGCATTTTATTTCAATTCTAATCACTTAATTAATTAATTGCAATTAAATTAAATACAATATTAATTGTAGAATGATTTATTTTAATCCATTTTTATTGATGACTTTAACTACTATGCTGGCTTGGCACAAATTCCACTAAGGCACTATTAGTAGCAATACTTGTGCTTTTTTTAATAGCTTTTAAAAAAATTGTTGTTAGTCACAAAGTCGTGTCCGACCCATCACGACCCCATGGACAACATTCCTCCAGGCCTTCCTGTCCCCCACCATCCTCCGGA